TGGGTGGGTGGGTGGGTGGGAGGCAGGAGCCTGGCTGTCCCGAAAGGAAAAAGGGTGTGGGTGGGTCTCAGGCCACAACTTTGGTTCCCAAATCCTCATCTTGGGCTGTTTCATCCTGTCTGTGGCTGAGCTCAGCCTGTTTCTCCTCTTCTCCCTGCAGGCCCAGGGAGTCCAAGGCCCCCTCCCCGTTGGCCACACCTGGATGACTGGTCCCGAGTCTGCTCATAATAAGCAAACTCAGGCTTGTTTTTTTTTTTTTTAAATTGCTTTAATGTTTTGAGGGCTGCAGGGTTGATAAGCACCCCCACTCCCCTCTCTTTGAAATGGGTGGGCTTGTTTTTAAAGGCAGTGCCGCTTTTTTTCCTTGCAAGATTTGACAGCACTGCTGGACAGCCTGTGGCTGAGCAGCTGGGACCTCCCCTCTGCCGAAATCTGATGGACCAGCACATGGCAAGAAACCAATGATTTGCCACCTAAAAGAGCGAGTGAGAAGCTCTACTTCATACCTCCTTGCCTGCTGGGTGAGGCGCTCAGCTGGTACAGAGGAGGCAGCCTAGATCCCTGCTTCTTTGGCTTTTTTGTATTAAATCATCAGTAGAGTGCAGGGGATAGAAAAAATCCTGAAAGCAGGAAAAGGGCCCAAGGGCTCCCAATCCTAACCACTTCCTTTTCGAGGCTGTCTTTCTGGCCCTGTGAGTCTTGCATTCTTTGCTACTCTGGCTCAGCTTTGACAGGAAGTGAAGAGAAATGCCTCTTCACGAACTCTAGCTTGTAGCCTGCTGTTTAGGACACCAAGGAACAGCTTCAGCCTGAGGAGAGCATAGAAACATATTAAGTAGTACTCTACCATGCTTGTAGGTGGCTAACGGTGGTCCCTCTCCTCAGGTATAGGTTGTAGGCCTGTATCTGCAGTAGGGAAAATGCCTGTCTTGCACTTTTAACTTGAGCTCCAGAAGGAGGTGGGGATTCAGCTGCACCCCTGTACTTAACATTTTGTGTTGGCTAGCTCTGAAGGTGACTCTCACAACATACAGGTCTTTGGATTGCCCTTCTGAGTTGCTATACTTTGGCCATACACGTTTATGAGGTGTAGGCTGCTGACTTTGGGTTTTGGATTCAATCATTAAAGTTAAGATGTCTTATAGGTGCCTAACTCATTTTATGGGTTTGGCTTGGAAAAGGCATTCTTTTTCTTTCTTTCATTGAATAAATTGATATGGAAACATTGCACTGTATAAGGTAGCTGACACTTTACAAAACTCATGGCTCAAATCTTCCTATATATAATGGGACTTATTATATAAACTGTAATTGCTTAAATGCTTGTATTCTTCCTGTTAAACTTTTTACTGAGATATGTGAATTTCAAGATTCAGTGTTATATGGAACAATGCAAAGTCTGAATTCACTGTCTAGACCGGGGTGATCAAGCTTTTGGCCCCATGTGGAAAATGAATGACATGGGGGTGGTGTGCAGGCCAGATTGAGCCCCACATGCCAGGATAGGACCCCATGGGACCTCAGCTAGCCCCTGTGAATTGGGGTTGGGCTCTGCAGTGGTTGGGCCCTGGCACTACCACCATGTGCTTGGATTGGGCCCTTTGCTGACCCCTGCCAAGCCATAGTTGCTGGGATCAGGTGCCCAATGTAGCTGCAGGATCTGGGACTCCCCACAACTTTGGAAATTTGGCAGCAGGAGACCATTTCCGCCCCTCCCCCAATTTCTGGACCCATGGGGAGCCCTGTGGGTTGGATGACATGATGCTGGGGTTGGATATGGGCTGGGGATGCAACACTCATGGGCTAGGGCAGTGGTTCTCAACTTTGTTAGACTCAAGGCACCCCGTGGAAAATGGTGGCTCTTAGTTTTCACATTTTTTTTGACTACAGAAAGATGATGCAGGAATTCTTCTATTGCAAAGAAATATCACAACAGGTCAGAATGTTTTTGACACTATGGATTTCTGTTTGAAAACTCTGGTTTTATCTTGTGAGTTACACATAGGTGTATACATTTCTAATATTTCGCAGCACATACCACAACACCATTAAAAGGATTTCATGGCACCCTGGTTGGAAATCGGTGGTCTAGCCAAATACTACAAATATATAATTTATCTATTTCCTATGGTGAATTTTTATAAATTACTAAAATAATTTGTACAACAGTTATTAGGTAAGATAAGAAAAATAAATGTTTTTGTTAAAAGATTTAGAAGAAGCTTTAGGTCAGAATGTTTTTAATATTCTCCATTCCTATTTGAAGTCTTTGGGTTTATCTTGTGAATCATGTTTGCCCACCTAACAGTGGGGGCATGATGATTGAGAATCACTGTCATGAACAAAACAGTGGGTACTAACAAGTCTGTTAGTCAAATGTGTGATTTTCTTCACATGGAAATTGTTACCTCTCATGTTTGTGATGGCTAAAGGAATTGTCAAAATATTAGGGCTGTGCGAGGCTTCGGATCCGGGGCCACTTTGGATGCTTCAGTGTCCAAAGCAGCATGCCCGGAGCGAAGCGTGGGCTCAGGTAAGATGTCCGAAGCACTTCGGAAATGCTTTGGATGCTTCAGATGCTGAAAGTGAAAGTTAGAAGAGGGAGGGAGGAAGGGGGGGCAGGGGGAGCGGGAAGGGAAGACTGACATGTAGGTGGCCAGTGAGAAGGATTTCTCTCTGGCTTCCTTTCCAATGACAGCATCTGGGTGGAGGGACTTTGAAACAGCATAAAAGCCTCTGTTTGGAGGCGTGATGTGCCTTTTCGTAGCTTGTTCCCTCTCAGAAACTGCATGAGAGAGGACCCCTCAGACTCAAGCATTTCAGCTTGCTTACTTTACTCAGTAGTTGAACTTGCCTGCTCCTTTTTGTTGTTAGAAAGGATTGGGTAGGATTTAGCTTATCTTAGCTTAGTTATTCAGTTACTATTACTATTCAATTCATTTCTTTGAATTTATATTTGCTCTTTTTTTTTTTTTGGAAACTTTGAAAAAAGAAAGCTGTGTTTTCCCTTCCAGTGTGATCCATCACTCTGCAGGGAGGCACACAGATTGCATGCATGCGCGCGCACAATAAAGAAGAAAAATCAGATATTCATAGGAGAAGACAGATAGCACACAATTTTTACATAACTCTTAACACTGAAGCAAACAATCAAAGAAGAGTCCAGTGCATGCACGCAACAGAGGGAATAAAACACAAAAGGGTTGACACACACATAGACCTTTTGCAGTACAGGAAAGATCAATATGAAGCATGCTGGAAAGGCAGGTGCTAGGTCTTCTGGCAGGGGAGGGAGAGGGGGGTAGGGGGAGAGCTAGAGCTGCAAGCCCCCCGTCCCCCTCCCCAAACACAGACACATTCTCTTCCCAAGCAGCCATGACATCAGTGCTACCAGTGGAAGCAAGGAGGTGGGAGCAGTGTCTGCACCTGACGTCCCTGCACCTGCACCACCTCTGCTCAGTCCAGAAGTAGGCACCAGCAGTGGAATCGCTGTCTCCTCCACCCCAATTTCATCTCTCAGCGTGAGCCTCCCACTGCCAGAGGAGGAGCTGGAGTTGGAACCAGGGATGCTGGGCGTGCTGTCTCAAGCAATTCTGGGGGCTGAGGGGGAATCACAGTTTGTGCTCCACACAAGTTTCCCCTAGACCCAGGTCTACTCTGGAAAGCAGCACCTTGGAGGAGGCTGAGGTTGTGGAGGCAAGTGGCTCAGCTGAGGCAGCTCCTGCTGTTGAGCCTCAGCCTGCCGAGGAGTGGGATAAGGCAGGATCCTCAGCCTCAACCTAGAAGCGGGGGAGTAATACAGTGTGGGAGAATTTTGAGCTGGCAGATAATCCCAGGTTTGCCATCTGCCAGCACTGCTGAAGGCACATGAGCCATGGCAAGAATGTGAGACACTTCCACCACGGCAATGCTACTGCATATGAGGAGGCAGCACCCCCTTGCCCTTCTTCCTGCTCATCCTGGCACCAGTGTGAGTGTGCCGAAAGGGAAGTCCCCCGCTCGTTCCAAAGCCCCCTTCCCCCCCAAGCAGAGGACGGCTACCCAGAACCAGTGGGGGAAAGGTGGACAGAAAGGGGGGTGCGTTCCTAAGGCCAGGGAGATCACCCAGAGCACTGGGGAGATGCTTGCTCTGGATAGCCAGCCCTTCTCCCTAGTTGAGTAGCCAGGGTTCAGGTGACTCGTAGCACTTCTCCCCCATTTTACAAAGTGCCCACACGCACCACCTTTAGCAGGATGGTGGTGCCCTCCCTGTATCAGGCATGCAGGGAATACTTAAGGGAGGAGCTATGCAAGGCAGGGCCACAGGTAGCCTTGCACTTCACCTTTGACATCTGGAGCAGCTGGGGTGGTGATCATGCCTACCTCTTCCTCACAGGGCACTGGTGCAATCAGTCAGGCCATTGGTGGGCTCTACTGCAAGCTGAGGTGCTGGATGAGTCCCATACAGCAAGGGAGATCATGGGGGCCATGAACTGCATGGTGCAGGGGTGGCTCATTGGACAGGCCGAGCTCACCCATGGGTTCATGGTCACCAACAATGGGGCCAATATGGTGAAGGCTATCCATGATGCCAACTTCTGCTGTGTGGCACAGGCTGTACCTAACAGTGAGGGATGCCTTTGAGGGGAACAGGGCTGTCGGTGATG